TATTAACTTCATTTATTTAATGGGAACTGTACATTTCCATATAAGGTATTGATATCATTAACATAATAAGAACTGTAAATTTCCATATAAGGTATTGACTTCATTTACAAAATGGGAACTGTAAATTTCCATATAAGGTATTGATATCATTTACTCAATGGGAACTGTAAATGTCCATATAAGGTATTGACTTCATTTATTTAATGGGAACTGTAAATTTTCATATAAGATATTGACTTCATTTACATAATAGGAACTGTAAATTTCCATATAAGGTATTAAATTCATTTATTTAATGGCCACTGTAAATTTCCATATAAGATATTGACTTCATTTACATAATAGGAACTGTAAATTTCCATATACGGTATTGACTTCATTTACATAATGGGAACTGTAAATTTCCATAAAAGGTATTGACCTCATTTACATAATGGGAACTGTAAATTTCCATATAAGGTATTGAGTCTTATCAGCTTACCTTCATCCATCCAAAATAAAAGAAGAATTCCAAGACAACGAGAACGGGAAAATATTTATCGATTACATGACTATCATAGCCTCTTGTTGGATCCAGATATTGTCTTCCAAGTACACTGCATAAAAAATAGGTATAACATGCTATGGTAACTACCTGCAAAAAATGATAACATTCAGTTCTTTGTCAGATATTACTGTAATATTTACAAATATTCAAATACGTGGTTTAAACTATATTAAGGTTGATTAACAATTGTTTTTGTTATTGCAACCACAAGATATAGTTTCCTCAAACTACAATAAGATTATGGTAAAAATGTCATATTGCAAATTAATTGCAGTAATTTTTATGAAATCTATTTTCTATTCTCCCCAATATCCTTAATAATCCAATAATGTGTGGTAAGAAAATAATGACAGAATCACTACATACAAAATTAATCAGGGAGACCAGTATTGAAGAAGGTGGGGGCTTAGATATCGTATTAGTAATGTATGCACTTGCATAAATGACAGAATAATGGTCTAAGTAAGTCCCATTCAAAGATCCAGTATAAAATAAATGCAATTTCGGGTTTACATGCACTTCTATTACCGTAAAATCTCTAATAGAAGCCGCACACATTCCTTCTGAACAATTGAGTCACAAATATTCAACATTTCTCATATGTGTAGTTGCTCTAATAAAAGCTGCATCCCCTCTGTTGCATTGTACCATTTTAATAGAAGCCGCGGCTTTTAATACAGATTTTACAGTAGTGAAGCGCTTCTAATATAGAAAATAATGAGGTATGAATAGCTTCCTGACAATCCAAATGTTTAAACCAGGCAGTTAACTATTAAAGCGAGAAAGTCGTCACCTGCGCATGTGTCAGATGGTCATAGCATGTCATAGTTTGCAAACAAGTGTCTACCCATGGGCCTTTGTGTTTTTAGTGTGTTATCATTGCTTGAGACTCAATTCCCTCTCGCTTTAATTACTTCACTACAGTACTTAATCAGCGCACTCAGATATAATTCTGCACGCCCTCCCCTGATTTGCATGACCCACACATATATCAGTAAAGTATACTGCACTGAAACCATTTGACAATTAACCTATGAATTTACCATTATTTAGAACATTCCATAAAAGCCCAGTATAAATATGATTGGTTATGTTGGTAATTTGATTTCAGTGTAAATATATAATAGGTGCGTTTAAAAGTAGTGATAATTTTAATATTCATTCAATCAACTCACCTGTGTATATACCAACGGTATGCTCACCCAATCATAAGACAATATATCTTGACAAAACTGTCTGTGTACTTGAAATCTCTGAAATTGACAACAATTTGTTGACACTGACAATTCATAGACTGCAAAAAAAGTTTAAGTTTAAAGCTTGTCATATTACCAAACCATATACATTTGTGAATAAGAATTTTAGCAAAAACCAACTGTTTTAAAATGACACATTAAATACTTTTTCAATGATTCCAGTACTAGTGTAGTTGAATCAGTTTCATTTTGGGGACTTTCATGATGCTGTTTACTATTTCATTTTAAAATATTGACAAACATTACATTTTTTTCATAATTTTGGTACTTAACACATATTATTATACATCTGTCACTGTAACGCCATAAGTTACAGCGTGCCGTAATTTTGCGATATTTTATGGGGTATTTTCATATTAGGAAATGTGAATTCCAAATATGGAATGATTACGTGTGTAAGCGTCTTCTAATAATAAAAACAAACATGGCTGCCACCAGAGTTGGACCAGACACCACACAAAGAAGTTTGCTGATTCTGTTCTAAACATTTAGAATTTCGGCATTCCCATGGTGTATCCTTTGCCCGTCGGTCGATACTCCAGCTGTACTGTCTATGTGAATACTTTGAGGTATCCTCATAATAACCTCATATTAATTGCCTCTATTTTCTGGAGTAAACATTTTCACCACCTGGTGACTACAACTGGTGAAAAAATGGTTGAAAACTCTCATAAAACTGTCCTAAATAGGCTAGTTGTTGAAATCCTCCTGAACAATAAATAAACAAGATTATCTCTAGAAGTGCAACATACATAATTTGGTTGTTCAGAATTGTCTCATAATTGAGTGTGTTCTGTTTTCACCGTCTCATCGACCAATGTTCCAAGCAGCTCTTGCATAGCCCATAGAAATACATGGTACAGTGGTGCACGTCTTAGCACCATAGAACGTTCTGTGACGTAACTCCACCCCCAAGATTATGTAAAATAAACCTGCTTTTAAGTTTATGAGTATGAGTATGAGTATGACTCCTGTAGAAGGTTATGTCTGTTAATTAAAATTAACGAAAATTAATTTGTAAGCACCAGATAATTCAAATTATCTCTAGACAAATAATTACTTAATTACCATAAAAATGAAAAACCTAAAGGGATTTTGTATTAGTAAGGTATATGTATATATAATTTAACCCTGAATGATAAAGCCAATTTTTATTACGTTTCACAAAATATACATAGTACATAACTTTTGTTTGTATTTTTGAAAACATTTTGATTATATCTGTAGATAAATTATAATATTTCATCACAAATTAACTCTTAATTTGTTTAAATATAAATTACAAGGCATAAAAATTACATGCTAAATTAATTAAATAATGAATTATAGCTACAAAATACTAGTCACATCATGGTGTTGTTCTATAGTATCTAAGTATTGTGTTTTAATTCAATGAAATTTTGAATATAATTTTATTAGTTCAATTAAGGGCTGAATTCATTATCTAATTATCTTTATGTGTACATCTCCATCAGTCAATATAAAGTGACATCACCACTGAAAATAACATGATTATACCGTAGTTACTATTCAACTTTATATCAGAGTGAAGTATTAAATGATATGATATGGTTCAAATTCCAAACTATTTAACATTTGTACTGGGTGTTGGGAATTAATTTTACCTAAGTTACTAGGTCAGAAGGTCCAATGCAGCTCCAAAGTTTCAGGTCCTACCAAAACAAATACATGCATGGTCCTGATTTGTTATCAAACAAATCAATATGGTTGAAAGCATTATCAACCACAACCAAAAAATGTAAACACTACTGTTTTATTCACTGATTATCCACAACAAAAGTATCACAAGTTCAATAAAGAATAGAACTTCAATCAGATTGTATTTGGTACATTAAATTCTCCTGTGAAATTACTGTGTTAAGATGATGTTTAGAATTACGTTCAAAACTATGTAGACCAAAGTTAAGCAGAAATTTTTTTTCCTGTAGGAGTCAAAATTTTCATCTACATCAGTCAACTTTTGAAATCATTTATCAAGCAAATGCTGAATAAAATAAAATTTTCATCTACATCAGTCAACTTTTGAAATCATTTATCAAGCAAATGCTGAATAAAATAAAATTTTCATCTACATCAGTCAACTTTTGAAATCATTTATCAAGCAAATGCTGAATAAAATAAATTTTCATCTACATCAGTCAACTTTTGAAATCATTCATCAAGCAAATGTTGAATAAAATAAAATTTTCATCTACATCAGTCAACTTTTGAAATCATTCATCAAGCAAATGCTGAATAACTGTATGATTATACCGATACTTAGTAAAACTGAATCTAAGCTAGTTATGTTTAATTTCCATTTTACAATTGGTTACTTCTTTTAGAGTTATGAAGTTTCTCCTGGCACATTAAACAATTTTTGCTGAAATTTAGTTTTCAATTTCTACTTTTGAAAATCAATAACCAAATAGAATATGGTGTATTTTCCTGTTGTACAGTATGTGTACCCGTACAAAGAAGTTGATTCCATAATTTTCCCCAAATTTGATGTTTCACAGATACCGGTATATTGTAAACAAATGGGTAACTATAAGCTTTCTTTCTACGAGAACAACAGAGATTTTATTTTATTTTTTATTAATAAATTATTGTTATTGCAAAATAACATTTATCAGTGCCACACTGGAAATAAATGAGTAAACTGTAGCTATACACACATATAGATAAGCATATTATGCATCAGAACACACATGCTAATATGTTTGTTTACATTCCAGGTGGTTCTGTTGTTGATAGCAACATGAATTAACTGAGGTATGCGGTAAATGATTTGCACGTGGGAACCATATGTGCAAGCCTTTCATGTAATCCCCTATTACTCACAATCTAAGCACTGAATTAACCAGTGTAACAATAATTAGAAAATATTTGACAGTAAATTTGTATCATTATAGCAGAATTTTTTTTATTTGCAACCAAAATAAAAAAATCTATAATTCATAATAAAGCTACTTTATATAACTTGCGTGGTGTGTTTGACACATTTTTATGCTTGTTTTGTATTACTATACTAAAGATGCATATTAAAAAGTCGGCCAACTGAACGCGAAAAATAAAACATGGAACCGCCCGAACTACATGATCAACTGATTTCACCTTTACACTAATGAGTGGTTATTGAACTAAATGTAGGAGTTGCGTCAATTCGTCACAAAACATATAATTTCTTTGTATATTTTATATTCAGTAGGCCAACTGAACACCGAAAATTAAACATGGTAACCCCCCCCCTCCTCCGAACTACATGATCAACTAACTGATTTCACCTTTACACTCATGAATGGTTATTGAACTAACTGTAGGGGTTGCGTCATTTCGTCACAAAACATTTTTTTTTTCGTATACCTTATACTCAGTCGGCCAATTGAACACAAAAAGTAAAACATGGTACCCCCCCTCCGAACTACATGATCAATTATTTTCCCCTTTACAATAATGAATGGTTATTGAACTAAATGTAGGGATCGCATCATTTCGTCACAAAACATATAATTTTTTGGTATACCTTATTTGCTCATTAGTAGAAAATGTGCTTACGTAAATTGCTGAGATGTTGCTATGGTCAAAACAGGTATAAAATATTTTAATGATTCACTATTTAGCAAATGCAATTTTTGGTTTATATGTGCTACTATTGGAGATGAGCTTTTAAGGGACCAAATAAAGGAGGAGGTTTCAGACCAATAACACTCTGGAAATATCTAACAGCAAAAACAATTGTGCCATCGAACTGTAATACTTGTATTATTCATATCAATAAATTGTGAAAAATAATTAACCAAAGTGATCAAAAACAAAATGTCTGAAGGAAATTAATATGTCTGTGGCAAAGAAAGGAATTTCAAACTCAATTTTTGTCTTTTTTTATTTCTAAATTTATTTGTCGTGTTCAAGACTGATTCGTGTAGTTGTTTTGCATAAACTTATATGAAAAGTAATTTCTGTTAATAAATAAATACCATAACATGCACAGGCAATTGGAATTTTTTGAAAATACAGCTTTACCGTAGTTCTATTTTCGGGGATAGATCGAACTTTGTAACAGAATGTTCTACGTTGGTAGGGCGTGCACCACTGTACCATATGCATTATTTCTATAGGCTCTGACGGTCGAAGAGCCGGTGAAAACAGCTAAAGTCAAGAAAACAGCACAAACTCAACTATGAGACAATCCTGAACAACCTAATTTATATATGTTGCACATGTTAAGGTAATCTTGTTACACTGTTAAGGAGAGTCTCAACAACTAGCCCAAAGTATGTTTTTTGAGAGTTTTCAATCGTTGTTTTCAGCAGTTGTGGACGCCAGGTACTGAAAATGTTCGCTCCCGGGAAAATATTTGATTGGAACATTTTAGAATGCATGATACAGCTACTTATTAAAGTTTTGTTTTTAAGGATCGATGCAACTAACTAGAAATAAATATGAAAAGTTTAAAAGCACTACCGATTCTTGATATTTTGCTGAATGAAAGGTTTTATTAAATAAATTATAAAAAGAGGAAGGGTAAGTTTTATCCATTGGAACCATGCCTTGTATTGTTGGAGACTTTGAGACCATCCCTCAAAGTAAACCGGACTAATGATGGGAGGACACCCAGGTAAACAGATAAACAAAATACATATAGAGATAACTCTTGCTGGTACAGTGACAAGATGACATCATATAAAATACAAAGTTCATTTGACATGGATGCGTGCATGTACATGTAAAGATAAAAAATAATATAGCTCTTGTAAACAGGGTTCGAACTAAGGGATGGATCATTCGATCTTGGGAGTGGGGGGTGGTCAGACCAAGAGAATTTTGTTTTCCGTTTTTTTTTTACTATCTAAATTCCAAATTTTGTTTACACAGATTATGTTTCCATTATTTTTTGTTTTCGAAAGTATAGTTGTGATTATTTTTTTTATAAAGATTATTCATCTAAATTATTTTTTTTTCCAAATTGTGACCACCCCCCTCCCAAAATCTAATGGTTCATCCCTAAGATTTTAGAACATTATTGATTTAACTTGCATACATATGCTTCAATCATAATATTCATTTTTATACATTTTCTTTTGCATTTTTTTATTTCTAGAATATGAATTTGGTACTATTGAGCAACTATTTTTCACAAACATTAAGTTTTTATACAAACTTTTCAAATTATTATTTCAGTATATATGTATATATAATCCGTTTTCAAGACTGTTCTCTTTTAGCTCAAATATAACATGCAAAACAGCACTTGTAAAGTATTTTTGCCAAAATTTCCAAAAAATCTTCAATATGAATATCAAATTTAATTAAAAAAAAAATATTATTTGGGTTGTGTTTGCACTTTTTGTTTAAAAATCTAAAATCAGATATTGTGAAAGGATACAAAAAGTGCCTTTTAATATAGAGTGATGCTTATTGTACAATGCAAAATGTCTAAAACTACTACATAGTTCAAAGGTGCAACCTATGTGTTAACACGTCATTTTTAATATAGTTGTTTGATACTGTATATTCATAAATACATTGGACTATGATTTATCATAAACTAAAAAAAGAAAAATATTTTTTCGGCCATATTGCATCTATAAAAGTGAAATACATATCAGCCCTGGTAAAATCACAAAATAAATTCACACATACCTCCATTATGTATCTATGGGACAAATCTTTTGTTACTGTCTTATTATCTCTGAGTGTTGTTGCTAGGTTCATAGCCCAAATGCATGGCAACCAGAATTTGGTGTGTGGAGATGGAACAGATTCATATATCTTTAGTTCACCGTCGGTCAATAAGCCTGAAAAAAAAAATGAAGGAAAAATAGTAAAAGAGCATTTTTAATATATTTTGAGAATAAACTAAAATCACTTTGAATTTTTGTATTTCCACTAGCTCATGTACTAATATGTTTAAAATTCATTTCCAATTCTGAGCTGTTCTTGAAAATTTGCCAATAAACATTAAAATAATTATTAAATACCAATTGGGGTATCAGATATATGAACTCAGGTCAAAATAATCAAAAATAGCATAAATTCATAAAAAGCTGGTTGAAAGAACACTGTAGAAAATGTATTTGTTTGGGGTTGACCATTAGAAACTTTGGGGAAAGTTTTAAGCTACTTTTTATTTCAAATGATGTTGCTGTTCATTTTTTATATTTTTATCTTTTAAATATTTTTTTCGTTAACTTTCCCTGTGGAGTTTATTTATTTTTTTTTTCTCTATGCAGAATTCTACATTCCCCCAACTTTCTTATTGTCAATCCCTAAACCAGGGTATGGGAAAATACTGATGATGAACAGAAGTTCAGATACTTTCAGATAAAGAAAAAAATATATGATTTTCACCTGCATTTCGAATATGTTTCATAGTAGGAAATCTTTTTAAAACTGGTACAGACACAGCACGGTAGACAAGTACAGACATCAGATTATACCATCGCACAAATGCACGTCTTGCCATCCGCGTGGTGTTATCTGTCCCGTGTACCTGGCTGGATACCACTAATGCAAATTCATCGATCCAAGTCAGTATTTTGTACATGTTCCACCATCGTCCAACTACGAGTGAGACATAGAAACCAAGCAGAAAACTGAGGGGAATCACTTTCAGGCCCTGTGCTGCATACACGCATACCTGGATGATACAATACATACATTATATTGAACACTTTAATTTTTCACAAAAATCACAAATTTTATTGAACTTGAAAAGATAGGGAATGCCACTAAGAATTATAGCAGTGATCTTTTCATTCATTGAAATCTTTACGATAGAGTCATGGTGGATTTTGCAAAATTTCAATCTAATTAAAATCCTTCAATAATTTGATGGCTGAATTAGAAAAAATAATTTTCAAGCAGGAAACAACCTGGAAACAAAAATTACAGTGATCAATAACAGGGAGAGCAAGGGTTATTTTCGTTCAATGAAATTGCATAATTTTTTGGTTCGTACAACGTAAATTGAAAAAATAAATTTCGTAATTCTGTAATCACAGGCTAGATCAAATATTTTTATTGTACACTGTAAAAATGTGTAATTTTTCTCGGTACTAACAAGAATTTACATCCAAATAAAAAAAGTCGTAAAGAATAATCCAGGGAAATTACATTTTCAAAACTGTAAAATGACTAGATGACACAATTCACTGCAAAATTCAATTTTCACTGTAAACTGTAAAAACGTCTTTTTTTCCTTGTAAATTGTAAAAAGCCCTTTTT